GGGATAATGATGATGGAGATGATGTTACTGAAGAAATACAAAACCTAAAAACAAAGAACTTAAATTAGAGTGGAAGGAAGAAAGTGAATTAGAAAAAATAAAACGTGATCGATATATGATAGGAAAGACTTCAAGATCAAGTTATTATGAAAAATATGGATCAACTAGTTCATTTATCAAGGCAGCCGTTAATACTAAAAAAATTACAAGTTTTTTTAAAGTTAGTAATCAAGCTACAATTATACAATCTGATGGAATTTTGAGTAATTCAGAAAATGAAATCAGTAATAAAGATACTTACCAAATTGATAAAAGAATACGAAGTCTAAAAGAATAATTAGAAAAATAACATGATAAAATGACCGTTACTGAATATAACAAAAAAAGAGCTATCTATGAATATTTTACTCGCTTAAATAATGGAAAAATGCATGCTAGTTTAAAGGCAGCTAAAATCATTTTTGTTGATGGTAGTCCATGGAAAGCGTGACATATCTGATATAATACAACTTACTGGTTACATAATAATAAACTCCCAGCATTTAAATATGGAAAGCATCAAAAACTATTAGATTAATTGATGATGAAAATATAGCTGAAAAATGTCAAATTTGGGTTCATAAGCAAAATTTCAAGGCCACGCCAGCTACGTTTAAAGAATTTGTTAAACAGAAACTATTGCCTGATATCAGAATTACAAAAAAAAACTATTTCTTTAATGACTGCAACAAGATGGCTTAATATTCTTGGTTATTCATTTCAATAACATCATCAAGGTATATATTATGATAGACACAAACGAGATGATATTTTACAATATCGCAAAGTATTTTTAGAAAAAATGTTTAAACATGAGAAATATATGTCCAAGTATGAAGGTGAAACAATGGATCGTATATATCCCAACTTACCTGAAAAAGAAAAGGAAAGAATTCTTGTAACTCATGATGAGTGTATTTTTTATTCTAATGATAGTAAATGTGAAATTTAGGCCAAAAATAGAGAACTGCTACTATGAAAAAAAGGAAATGGAAGATCTATAATGGTCGGTGAGTTTCTTACTGAAATTAATGGACGTTTGCATTTACAACAAGCAGATATATTACAAAATTTAAATATACCTGAAGAAGCATGATGCTATTTGAAACCTGTAAAAATCAAGAAGGTTATTGGACAGCTGATCATCTTTTTGAACAAATCAAATATAAAGCTATTCCTATTTTTGAGACATTGTATCCAAATTGTGTAGCGGTATTTGCCTTTGATAATAGTTCTAATCATGCTGCTTTTGGAAAAGATGCTTTAGTTGCAAGCTGAATGAATTTAAATTCCAGTGGCAAGCAACCAATTATGCATAATACTTATTTTAGACCAAATTAATAGCCGCAATCAATGGTATTTTCAGCTATACATCATAATGAAAAACTTTGAGGTAAACTAAAAGGAATTAAACAAGTATTAATAGAACGAGAAAAATGGCCATCTGAAGGATTAATACTAGAATGTAAAAATTGTAAAGAAAAAGTTCATGATCCTTCAAGAATTTCTTGTTATACTCGTCAAGTAATATCTTTAGAATCTGATTTTCTTGCACAAAAATGAGCAATTGAAAAATTAATTGAAAAGGCTGGTCATATATGTATTTTTTACCCTAAATTTCATTGTGAATTAAATTTCATTGAAAGATATTAGGGAGCTTGTAAAAGATATGCATGAGAAAATTGCAATTATTTATAGAATGGATTACAAAAAGTTGTACCAAAATCCCTTGACTTAGTACCTTTAATTACAATTAAAAAATTTGCAAGAAAATGTTAGCGTTATATGGATGCTTATAAAAAAGGTATTAGTGGAAAATTGGCAGAATATGCTGTTAAGAAATACAAATCACATAAAAAAATTCCAGATAGTATTTTAGAAGATTTAGAAGAATTAAATAAATAAATTTTTTTTTAAAATGTCTAATGATTATTTTTAGACCAATAAAAATCAATTCACGTGATCAAGTCTCGTGAAGATCTGCAAAAAAATTTTGGACTTCTTTGATGAGTATAGATGTTATGCACTATAATAATAATGAATTTAATATTATAGCAGAGACTGAAATTTTTTCAAGAACATATAGTTTAGTTTAAAAATATTTTAAAATAGAAAATGAAAAAGCAAAATGCATATATTATTCATAAGTATATATTTATTTTTTAATTTATAAAAAATATTTTATTTATTAATATTTTAAATATTACAGTATAGAATATAAGCGTATTAGTAGAACTACAAGTAATTTTCATTGGCATTTAAAAAATAAATATCCTATTAAATTAGAAAAATTAGAAACAAGAAGAGCAATAGATAAATATATTAATAAAATACCATCTGTAAGTTTTTATTTAAAATTTTTTTATATATTTATCAAATATTAAAATTTATATAATTTTTTATATAGTATTTTCTAACTATATTTTATGATTATATCTCTAAATGGATTATTTATAATGATCAATCTTTTTTAATTCTTGAATCAAAAAATTTGCAAAATTTATTTCAGATGTTAAATCCTAATATCAAAATACCTTTAGCTGATACTATTCATGTAGATATAATAAAATATTTTAATCAAGAGTGTATAAAAATTCAAGATATTTTACAGGTTATATTTTTTTATTTTTATTTTTATTTATATAAATTTAATATTAATATTTATTTTTATTTTAGAATATTCTTAGTCATATATCATTTACAATAGATGGGTAGATATTAGCTAATTATATCCTTTTTTTAGGGATTATAGCTCATTGGATTTCAAAAGAATAGGAATTGGTAGAAATTTTAGTTGATTTTTATAAATTAAATGGAACTCATTCTAGAGAAAATTTAGTAAAATCTTTTATTAATTGCTATAATAAATTTAAAATTCTTATTAAAGTATGTATATCTTATTTAATTTTTTAAAATTTAATTTACAACTTTAATTTATAATTAATTATATTATAAATTCAATGTTATACAACTGATAATGCCAGAAATAATAATATTATGATAGAAGAACTTGAAAAAAATGTCAATTACAAAATATTAATTTTACTAAAAAAAAATAATCATATTCGATATTTTACACATATTATAAATTTAGCTGTATAAAGTGTACTTATTTCTTTAAAAGCTAATTATTTAAAAAGTGAAATTGAAATACTTTATAATAAAATAACAAATAGTATAGTTTTAAAGGTAAATAATATATTTTTAAAATTTTTAAAATTAATTTCTTGTAATTTATATTATATTTATTTATATAATATAGCTTTATAAACTCGTTATTAAAATTCAAGTTTTACCTCAACATTGTAAAAATTTTACGTCAATGTGATGCAGCTTTTCTTCCTATTAAAGAACTAATATTAGATGTAAAAACAAGATGGAATTCTACTTATGATATGAATAAATGTAGTAATTAAATTTATAATAATTTATTAATTATTATAATTATTAAAGGCTTTAGATAATACAGGATCATCTAAAAGGGAATTAAGATTATATATTTTAAATGATTTTGAATAGAATTTATTAAAATAATTAGAAAATTTATTAGAGATAAGAAATAATATAATTAATTGTATTATATGATTATTTTTTTAATTAATTTATTAAATTTATAGTATTTTGCACGAACAACAAAATATATTTCACATAAAAATTTTTCAACTTTAACAATTACAATATTAACTTATAATTGGTTAATGAATATGATTGAAGATTTTTAAATAAAACTTTAATAATAGAAATAAATACTGCTACTGCAGTAGCATTAGAAAAATTAAAAAAATATTATCATTATGCAAATTCTAATACTTATTCTATTATAATTAGTAAGTTTTATATTTTTATTTATTAATTTTAATTTATATATTATTAATTTATTATTATTAATTTATAGTACTTAATCTAAGATTAAAATTATTATATTATATTGATAATTATTAGGAAGTGAATTTTATTAAGAAATCATGTAAAATTTTTACTTCTTATTTTAATATGCATTATGTATCAATGATGATAGATTTAAAAAATCCAAATGAAAGTTCTGAAGACAATGATTTATTAAATTATATATATAAAAGAAAACATATAAAAAATATTAATGAAATAGCATATTATCTTAATGCTTCACTTGCATCTTCAAAGACTATTTTATTACAATGGTGAAAAGTAAATAATATATTTTATTAATAATTTCATATAAGTTTTAAGCTTATTAATTTTATTTTTTTTTTTAGTTAAATAAATCACAATATCCTTATTTAGCAAAAATGACAAGAAATTTTTTAGTTATTCTAGGTGAATAAATTTAAAATTTTATGAAACTTTTATAATTTTAATTTAATCAATCTAATTTATTTATATTTACTATATTTTTTAAGCTACTAGTATTCTAATAGAAAAAGCATTTCTAAGAGAATTGATCTAATTATACAAAAAAGATATAATCTATTAGCAGAAATAGTTAGAATGTGTATGTGTCTTAAATCTTGGTGAAAAACTATTTTAAAGAAAATATAAAAATTCTTTATTTTATGCTTTTTTTTAAATAAATAATTGGTATTATTTTTTTTTTATGATTTTGATTTAATAAAATAATATATAAAATTTACAATATAATATAATTTAAAATAAATTTTTATTAAAATTTGACTCAAAACTTGATTTAAATTTGATTCAACTCAAATAAATTTAAGTCAAAATTGAGTCAAGTTAAACTCAAGTCAAGTCAAATTAAGTTAAGTTTAAAATTTATATAACTTGAATCAAATCAAATTAAAAGATTTTATAAAATAAACTCGACTCAACTTGAAAAAATGAGTCGAATAGAGTTAGTCTTTAAACTTGACTCAACTTGACTCATTTAGAACTCTATTAAATATCCTTTTTCATTTTTAATTACATTTAATAACTTATTAAACAACATAGAAGCTTTCATGAATCTTTAATATCACGCATAAAAGATGCTGTATTTTCAATATTTGGAAAGGTAAAACTTCTATCAATAAACATAAAAGCTGCTTCTGGAAAATATCTAAATGAAAATCTCAATCTACTATAAAAGATTGTTACAAAAAGCTATTCAAATCTATTAATATAATAAATAAAGATACATATATGTATCAAATATTTGAATAGATTTAAGTATATTTTCAGAAATATAAATCACATATGTGATAATTATTTTAGAGATTTTACTAAATCTGAAAATTCTGAGTATTTAAATTTTGGAGCATAAAATAAAACTAAAATTAAGAAAGAATTTAAATATTGTAGTAAGTTGAAGTTTTAAAAAATGGATGTTAATATTTAAATATTAATTTATTTTCTTTTATTTATTTATTTATTTTTTAGAATAAAATTTTATATAATAAAGATATTTTTTCTGATACAGAAGCTCTGAAAAAAGCTGTAATAATTATATTGAAATAGGTAAAAAAGATACTAATAAAGAGAATATAGATGCAGATATAGTTATAAATCAAGATATCGAAGTTACCAGTACTAAAAATAGTGAAAGCAAGGATTTTGTTTCTTATTTAGATGAGTAGGATAAGATGACGATGAAGAAGAAATATAAGGATATTTTTTTATTTTTTTATGAATAATGAATATACTAAATAAAAGTATTAAGTAGTTAAAAAGAAAAAATTATCAATTATTATCATTAGCTAATTAAAATTAAAGTCTTATTGCTGTGTATATAAATAAAATTAGTTCTGTAAGATTTTGCTATATGTTATCACTGTATAAATTAAATATAGTAGTAATATTATATAAATAAGATTATGTTTAATCTTATAACTATTTTAGCTTAGTTTAATTAAAAATATAATTGACGAAAAGTAAATTAATATATAATTAAAGAAGGTTTATACAAATTTTTGCTTTATAATTTTAATATTAATAAATTGATATTAGATGATTATATAAAACGTAAATTATGTATTTATAAATTATAAAAATATAATTATCTTTTTGTTTAGTTTATAATGTTTACACATTATTACACTTAAAGTATTTTGTAATATTTACTGATCATAATATTTTCAAAATACCTCCAGTTATAGTACTTTGAATATTTACATTCTGTGATATTTACACAAAATTACAGGCTAGTACTTTGCATGATTTATTGTTTATAATATTTATAAAATACTACGATTGAAAAATATTGTAGGATTTATAGTTTATAATAAAAATAGACCACAGAGTCAAGTTTATTAAGTAGTATTACAAAATAAATATTAGCTTATAGACTTATTTTTTTTAATGATTACCTAATTAATTACCTAATATCATTTATTTGATTTGATTATTCAATTTGATTTTAATTAAATAATATAATGTATAATGTATGACGATTTATTTTTAAAAAAAAAAATACTAAAAATATAAAATTAAAATTAAAATAAAAAAATTAAAACAACTAAAAAAAATAAAAAATTAAAATTAAAAATAAAAAAAAATTAAAATTAATCTCTTCTATTTCTCTTTCTATCTTTTCTTCTATCCCTTCTCCTATCTTTCCTATTTCTTCTATTTCTTTTTTTTTAGATCTACTTCTGCTTCTTCTTGATCTACTTCTTTCTCTAATTTTCAATTTACTTAAATTACTGCTACTTCTTTCTTTACTTCTTTCTTTACTATTTTTTCTTTCTCTACTTCAATTTTTATACTTGAGCTGTCTTCTATCTATCTATTGCCTTCTTCTTATAGAATCTAAAAATAAAAACTTAATTAATATATATATTAAATAAAACAAATAATAAAATTTATTAAATTATTATAATTACTTTAAGGCAACCAAAATTCTTCCTCTATTATCTCATAAAATTCTATATTATATCTATTAAAACTTTTTAATGGAAGTCCTTTAGGATTTTTTATTCTGATTCTTTTATATTTTTATAATTACGAACTAGCATATTTTACTTAATCTAGCACTATCTTTTAGAAATTTGTATAGGATTAGTTATATTAATTTGTAGGAATATTTGATCTCAAATGTCAGCATATTCATTATTGCTAGCATTTTCGAACTATATTCAATAATAATATTTTAAATTAATTAAATCTTAGATTGCATTAAAGGTTTAAATACTCACTAATATTTTTGAATTTTTTTTAATGAGTAAGTTGTAAAAAACTTATGGGTATTTTATATACAAAAAAATTATTAAATCATATTATTATCATTTTTACATTTATCATGAAAGTTAAAATTTAAAATCATATATAATATATACATATGTGCAGATTTGTTATTATAAAAAATCATTTCTGCATAATTATATTATTGAAACTTTTAATACATTTAAGAAAAATATTAACAAAAATTTTTACTAATAAAAGAGACATTCCTTTATAATTATATATTAATTGTATTTTAATCACATTTAATATGAAGATATATATTGTTTAATCAATATAAAAATTTTTAATTACTAAATTTATCAGTTATTTATTATATAAAATCATTTTTATATATTTATATTATTGAAACTTTTAAAACATTTAAGAAAATATTTTTTATTTAATTATATATATATACAACTTACTAATATATGATTATTTAATTAAACTAAAATTTTTACTAATAAAAGGAGTCATATGCTCTAATGAATACTAAAAAAAAGGAGTCATTCCTACATAATTATATATTAATTATACTTTAATTATGTTTAATATGAAGATATATATCATTTAATTGGTATAAAAATTTTTAATTACTAAATATATTAGTTAATTATTATATAAAATTATTTCTGTATAATTAATCATATTTTAATCATGTTTAATATAAAGTTTATGATAAATTATAATGATCCGTTATAATTTTCATATAAATTGAAAAGATGTTAAGTTTTTTTCAATATACAATTCAGATAAGAGATATTATTAATAAAGTCTTATAATAAATTATTATAATCTGTTATAATTCTTGTATAAGTTGAAAGGTGTTAGGCTTTTCTCAATATACAATTCAGATAGAAGATATTATTAATAGAGTCTTATAATAAATTATTATGATCTGCTATAATTCTTGTATAAATTGAAAAGGTGTTAAACTTTTTCAATATATGATGCAGGTTATTTAAAAGGCAAACAGTCTGAATTTTTTTTTGCTAATTACAGACCCATCACGTGATCTTTATCCAATTAAAAATTATTACATGAATTAAAATTATCACATAATTAAATATCAAATTATTAATTTATCGAGTTTTAATTTATTAAATTTTTTGTATTAAAATAAATAAAATTTATTAATTTATTTTATTTAATTTCTCTAATACATTTTCAGGAATTTTTCTATGTGATTTGTATTTTTTAACAGCATATTTTACTAATTTACTTGTAATTCTATACCTATATAAATCCATATATCACTATATTTTTCTTGCAAATCTATGAATAGTTATTAAATCTACAAAATCTAAGGCATAAGGAACTATTTTTTGTAATCCACTCTATGTGTAATCACAATTATTTTGTATATGTCATTTTGCTACTCCCTAATAGCATTCAATAAAGTTTAATTCACAATGAAACTTTAGAAAAAATATACAAATATGACCAGCATTTTCAATTATTTCAACTAATGCAGATTTTTAAACTAAAAATCTGGTTGAAGAGATAAAATCTGACTTTCACAGTAATCTACACGTAGAGAATCATCATTTTTATTTTTACATAACTTGCATTCTCCTATCATATTTTTTTTTCACAATCCTCATTTAATCAAAACTTGTTTTACACTTTTTGGTTGACTATCAGGAAAATTCATACTTTGTCTTTTATTATTTAGACCCTAAAAGGTATCATGCATTTTAGATGTATTTCTACCAAGTCTGATATACATTAAAAGCAAATGCAGAATGATTTGAACTATTATCAAAAGCAAATACTTCAATACAATTTGAAAATAAAGCCTCAAATATAGGAATGGCTTTATATTCAACCTGTTCAATAAGATGTTCAACTGTCCAATATCCTTCATCATTTTTTCCTAGTTTTAAATATACTTGTGCTTCCTCTGGAACATCAGGATAATTCTCAATTTACTCAGCAGTTAGTTTAAGTCTTTTACAAGCTTCAGTTAAAAATTCGCTTATTATAATTGATTTTCCATTACCTTTTTTGCGTAATGATAATCCACCTGACTTAGCCCATGTTTCGCATTTCCTATTATTTGAGTAGAAAATGCATTCATCATGAACTATTAATATATGCTCTTTCTCTTCTAAAATTAATAAAGGAGTAATTTTTTCTATATTATCTCCTTTATATGTTACTATGTATTTTTTAAGTTCAGCCATTTTTGATAAAAACACTTTTCGATATTTCACAACATCTTCTCTCTCATATTTATCATAATATATTCCTTGTTTTTGTTGTTGATAATGATATCCAAGCATATTTAACCATCATCTTGCAGTACTTATACTAATCACATTTTTATTAATACCTACTTTCAGTAACAATATATCCTGAACAAACTCCTTAAACTGATATGGAGTTGTATAACTTCCATTTTCTCAAATCTATTTATGACATATTTTAGTAATATCTTCATCATCAATAATTCTACTGATCTTCTGATGTTTTTCCCAACGAGATGTAGGTAGAGTATTGTTAATATACTAATACTTTGCTATTTTCTGAACCCAAGTAGCTATTGATTTACTATTACTATTATATACTATATTTACCGCATCCATACTTACCTTCATTTTTTTCTCTTCTTTTAATAAATGTTTAAGATATTCAAATATAGCCCTTTTTGTAACATACTCTTTTGCCAACATTTCATTAAAATTTTTCTTTAAATCCTTTTTTAAACTTAAAACCATGTCTTCTGATTGCTAGATGAACATAGAGGCTTTCTCTTCATCTGATAAAATATCTTGAGAACCTTCTTGCATTGATTCATCTTGCAGATTAAAAAAGCTTTTTAATTTCTGAGTTCCCTTTGCTACTTCTGTCCACAAGCCGCTAGATCCCCATTTGTCATAATAAGTTGATTTTGATGTCTTACTCATTTTATAAGAACTGCATTTTTCTATTTCTAACTTTACATCCGGTCTCCACTTCAATCAAAATTCACCTTCAAAAGTCTATCCTGCATATCTTATTCTACTTCTAAATCAGTATCACTTTCCCAATCACTTTTCTCATCATTTTTCCAATCATTTTCACTAAAAGTATCATCCAAATCTGTTTTTAATTGTTCCCCTAATATGTTTCCTTCTGTATCACTCTCAATTCTTAAATAAAAATAAATTTATTTAAATAATTCTTATAAATAGATTAAACGATTTATAAACTTACTCAAGTTCTATAGAAAATTTTCCTATTTTATTCCGGGTTGCGTTTTTTAGTGCAGTTTTTCTTTTATTAAGTCAGGACATGCTAGAAAAATTTTTAAAAAAAAGTCTGTTCAACCTATAAATTAAAATTCATCATTATCGTTATCATCATATTACAAATTTTCACGTAATCAATTTCATTTTATTGGACAAAATCGTTATCACATGATAAATCACAAGTCTAAAATTTAAACATTTTATAGGAAAATTACCAATTTTCAAACGCCTAAGGCTCAAAAAATTTCTAATCAACTAGATATTTGAAACTGTAACTTTTATTCTCTATTGTTTATCTTATTATTATTATGGATTGTTTTTTTTTTATATCATGTAGAACAAAAGTTTTAGGATTTTAAAGTTATACAATTTTATTTTTATTTATAGATAATCTGCATTATATAATTCAGAAAGTAGATATGGTCTAGTGCAAAAAGATTAATACACAAAGATTGTCACCTGATTTTTTATATTATACAAAATTTTACAAACTGAACATATGATTATATAAATTACAGATAAGGTAAGGATAGTTCTAAACTTTAAAATAAAAAAAAATTTAATCACCTTTCTTTTCAAATGAATGACTTAAAATGAGACCAAAGCTATCTGACTAGTAACGAAAAAAAGATGATCATTCATGTCTATCAATACTTTTTTGATATCTGACAGAGTAAGAAGAAGTATCAAGACTTATTACTACGCAAGAAGGTTGCTACGGCCCTTAGAATTAGGAAGGCAACAGTTACGCGAGTAATTTTTGAGTACAATAAAGATAAAAATGATGAACAGTTACTGCCAAAAATATATGGAAGACAAAAAAAAGAACTTAATGACAATATTGTTAAAGTTATACATATCTCTGTTATGTCTTTTAACCATTCTGGCTTGTCACTTTTAACAAATAATTTGTGACAAGAGCTTGAAGAAAATGGTTATACACTTTCAAAATAGCAGTTACTTTGTATACTTCACAAGCTTGGATATTATTTTGGTCAAGGTGAACATCAAAATATATTACATGAATCTTCTCAAAATATTGCATTTCGCGGTTATTATTTACGGTATGGTCCAGTGCAAAAAGATTTGTACACTGCTAAAAAAAGAAAAGATTTATGCTAAAATAAATATTATATCACTAAAATAAAGTGGGCTAAAAATTAAATACAGTAGCGGTCATAAGTATCCGATCGCCTCTAACTCCAGCTACAAGTAAGTAAATTCAAAAATTTTTTTTTTATTTAAAAAATACATAACCAACTAACTAAAATTAATAC